TTAGCCGAACTCCAGGTTACGTTAAGTCGGCCTTCTACAATCGAACTCCGTGTTCCCACTGCGTGCGAAATAACGAGTTCCGATGACGCCGACGCCTCGACTTATTCTCAGGGCTTTCCCCCTTCCCCTTTCCTCTCATCCACGAATCAGACTAAGCCGATTCCGGCATAATCGTTAATTACGATCGATCCCACCGCCCAATTCACATGCGCATTATTGTAATATAATTACACTGTCTTTATTTTACGAGTTCAATTGAATTTATTTGAAAGCTGCAACAAATTTCATCATTAAATACACCATTATTTTCCCGCTCCTTTTCCTTCTTATTCTATTTCCCCTTTTTTCTTATTTTTTTCTCGTTTTCTCTTTTATTTTTCTTATCTTTCTTACCTCGACTTGGCTGCGAGAACGGCGTACGGCATACATCAATACAAAAGCGTTTGAATTTAAATTGAATTAGACGAAGTGAATGTTACGTGAGATTAATCGCGTCACTTGCATTGTCGAATAATTAAATCTGCATCAATAGAACTTTTAATCCCGTTAGAATATATATCCACATTAATTGTTTCTCCATAGTTGCTTTTATTTTATTTTTCGTTTTTTATTTAATTCCAAATCAACGTTTCCCTCTCATTCGCTACCCTACATCTGACATTTCTCATTTATAACTTTTATCCTAATGTTATTATGCTTATAATAAGCATTGCGTTTATTGTTTATTTAACGACGAATCAATAAATTTTGGACTTTTTAATTTACCTCTACTATCGAGCTACAATTTAATTATTATTTTACAATTAATTTCTAATTGATTTGAGAAAATGTATAGCTCAGTGTAATGTTAATAGCATACACAATATTGTCGATAAAAAGGGACGTAAAATTCTATTTATCTCGAGATAAAATCACTAATGAATTAAAGTAATTTGTGCTCAACTTCTTTCAAACGCTACCTTATGTAGAAATCTTTTCTTTTTCTTTTTCGTTTTTTTATGCCACTTTCAATCAACATTGACATCAATTTAAACGTAGATCTTAATTATTACTGACATCTAATACTGCGTTGATTGGTGATGAATTGTAGAAGAACAAAAATGTAACACCCAGAGAATTAAAACATCGGTAAGGAAATAATACATATTTCGAGATTATTATAAAAGAGGTTTCCATGTAAAATAAAAATTCTGCATAAAAGTGAAATTTTAGATAAGAATCAGCATATTACCATTCTGATGTGCAGTCTTCTAGAATTATATACGACTTGCGTTTTGCTGCATAGCACATGCATTATTATTCATATTCATACTGAAATGCATTCAGAGGTCTAATTCTGAATTGTTTCAGTTAAAAAGAAAAACAAAGTGGACACTTCAAAATTTTTCAACTATTCATTTATAGAAACGAACCAGCACAGTTTAAGTAATTATATATATGCACGTACATATGCGTATATACGTAGGATAAGAGCACCGATATATTAATAAAAAAAATTTCTATTTATTTTTATTCTTTCATATTATTGGGCCGAATCTTCTTAAAATTTATTTACCAACAGTTCTATTGGATTATTTTTTACATCTATTACTGCTTTATCTACCATATCATATGAACAAGAATTATTCGATTCGATAAATTATAATTGAGCATAAATTGTACGATATTCAAATCAAACAAACTAATTAATGAATTAGGAAGAAGTTTATTATTAATACCCTACGGACTTTATATTCATATTTCTTGATGCACCTCTTTAACGAAGATATAAAATTAATTTCAGTATTTTCGTTGAAATGTGCTTAAATGGATTAATTATTAAAATATATTTTAATAAATTCTTCATTTGTATAAAAAATCTATGCAGGTACTTTAGCCAGTGCATATAAGTAAAAAGAGCTACAGGAGTGAGAGAGTGACTGAGTGTGATAGAGAGATTGTGTGTGTGTGCGTGCGTGCGTGCGTGCGTGCGTGCGTGTGTGTGTATGTAAGAAAAAGAGAATAAAAAAGTGACTTCAGCGTATTTACATTCTGTGCATGAATAACTCGCTCTTCTACCATATTCGCCTCTTTCGATCTTCATGTTGGATTCACGTATATGAGCTCTCAAATCTCAAGGTCTCTCGCTCGATTCAAATATTCTCTTCTTCTAATCTCACTCACTTACTCTCTCTCTCTCTCTCTCTCTCTCTCTCTCTCTCCCTTCTTCCCTCCCTCGCCGTCCACCCTGAATACGCCCACAAATTTATCATTGAGTATTATTCATTGAAGCGTCAATAGACTATTTGAATATGAAAAGAAAGAAGCGAGTGAATGGGTCGTCGGCATAACCGCGGCATGTCGACAAGAGCTCGAATGCGCCGGCCTCTCTCTCTCTCTCTCTCTCTCTCTCTCTCTCTCTCTTTCTCTGTCTTCCTCTGTGTCTCTCTTATTTTTACGCACACTGGAATATGGGGGCGAGTACGCACACGCGCGTCTTTACTCGCGGCCGCGAATGAACAAGTGAACGGCCGTTGAACGAGAACAGACGTTTAGATGGCAGGCATCGATTACTTAATCGATTCAGAATATTCAGAAGACCACGGGATATCGTTTTGTCTAACTTCCTGCGGAATCGCAACGGGGTCGGCCCTGACATCGGCTCCTTTACATACGCTAACCAGAGGCCCTTTCAGCTTCTTTTCTCTTTCGCCGCGGCGACTCCTTCCCATCCCGTTCTCCATCCCTGTCCCTCGTCATCCTACTAGCCGACTATTGGTAACCGAGCTGCTCTTTACATTTAATTTTTGCTGGATATTAGACTCGAACATTATGGTCCAACCTTTGTCAAAGTTGTGGACCACTGTCGATCGCTCGCTTACCTGTCCGTCCTGTCCTCGTCTACTCAGTTCGTAAAGTCAAGTAGCTTTAATGCGTACACGTTCACCTCGTAAAATTACGAGCGAATTTTTCAAACATTATTATTGCATATTTTAATTAGAATTTTCGATTAATCGCACGAGCGTATCATTATCTGGATTCTTTTAATGGGTATATAGCTTATACACCGTGTGTTTGTTAAATTTTTTAACAATCACCTTTATTCAGCAGTTTCGCTCATTTCAAACTTGCAGTTGCCTCAAAGTCACTCAACTGCTTTGGGAACATTTCTTTGCTAACATTATTTGTAGATATTGGCAATTACAATGAAATATACATTAATATTACTGTCGTTAGTTTTATTTATCATAGAGGAAAGTATGTGTGATCAGGTTGAACTCAAAGACATTCATAAGCATTTGGTAAATTGCTTTATTTAATATATCCGTCGTAGTATCTATACAAGTGTTTTATCCTTTATTGCAGAATAATAAGGAAGAGGAAGCATTTTGGAAATCCTTACATGATACAACGAAGGAAAGTGGTCAAGCTATTGTTAAGTCATTAAAGGAGAAAATTCCTAAATATAAGAAACAGTGAGTTTTAATTTTTTTTCCAAAAGTTAAAAATGTATTTCCGATGAAAATAATAAAGCACTGTCAACATATGGACTTACTTATTAAACAGAATTATTGTCTTTTAATTTAATTTTTTTTTTACTGAATTTTACGTTTTTTTTCGCTCAATAGTTCTCCCCCCCCCCCCACCCACGGCACTCCATCTAATTCTTTTTTCCATTCAATTATTTGTGGCTAGTCGTGAGAAATTTAAAGAGTCAGAGATATAATTTTGTCTTCTCGTGCACGAGTGACTAATTTAATTGCGAATTTTAATAAAAAAAAAAAAAAAACAAAAAACGAGATGAGAGTTCGTTACAATATACGCCCCGAATAATATTTCCCATCTAATAAACTGATAATTTCGTCATAGGAAAATCATTTATCCGTGCAGTGAGCGATGAGTCGATACTTTCGTCTCTGTGGAATTGTACAAACTTTAATAAACTACGTTGCTTGTGAGTAATTATTGAAAAACGATCTTAACGACCTTTTAACGATTCGTTTATTCGTCCTCGAATGAAGCAGCTGACTTTTTTTCCTACGATTTCATTTTGTGACTCATCGTGCTAATTTTAATTATCCGTTACGCATCCGAGCAGCCGAATTTGCAATTTTTATAAGCGAGCGGGGGATAGGCGAGAGTGGCGAGAGTGGCGACGAAGAAAGTCATAAGCAGGACACAACAAGCAGTGGACGTCCCTTCGTCAAGCGCGCAATGGTAAATTAAGTAAAGTCATATTTCAGCTTTAATTGCGTGTCACGCTCGCTTTGGCCGCTTAACGACGCCGGGATGTGTTTGATCAGTGTACGGAATAGCGCGCGGTCAGACAGCTTGACTTTATTACTCCCCCGCACTCGCGCGAAAAACGGCCGCTTGCTTAACGACTGTCTAGCTTTTTCTGCGAAACTCGCGGATGATTCGATCGGGTAGTGTTGCTGGCCTAGGTGGGGATTCTCGGGACTCGTCTTCGCTCGGTGATCGACAGCGCGGGGAATAATCGCAGGAAGCCGTGAGAAGAGCGATAATGATTATACGCGCGGCGAGTGAGAATTAGCGTATCTCGGTCCGATCGATGCTACCTAATTGTTATTATAAACTTACAGTACAGGTTTAATCATAATAGCTTGGGGCTAATTGGATAGATAATTAAGGGTAGCGGTAATTACGGTGGTGCAAAGAGTGAGCGCGAGAGGGTGAGAGGGGGCGCAATGAGAGAGAGAGAGAGAGAGTGAGAGACTGGCAGCCGCATCGGACGCTAGACCCGCCAACGTAACTGCCACCGCCGACGCCCACGCGGCTCGCGCTCCTTATACCAGTCGATATGGCTTTGGGCTACGACGTGTTTACGAGCTGAAGCCGATGCGCCATGTCTGTCCGTCGAAAATTCTCCGACTTTGCGCAATGAACGCGTTCCCGGACTCTCTGCACTTACGCAACCAACCCTTCCTGCGCTTCGATCTCAACTCCGTTTTCGCTTCGCTGCCTTCCTTTCTCTTTCTTTTTCTCCCTTCTCCTTCGAGTTTATTCTTCCACTTCGCTTCCACTTGTTTTCTATCCGATTCGTCCCTTCGAGCATGCACAATTTCTAAATTTCAAAAGCTCTCTCTCCTTATATGTTCTTTGTCTATCCCGTTTATTTACACATTATGCGTTATACGTTATACTTAGATCTAATAAAGATCCATATTATAAAGACATAACATCGGCAATTCAATGCACATTATACTTAGCTTTTCTACGATGATATTTCTAACAATTTGTTGATTATCTAGTAACAATAGTTTGGAGTATCATGCCTTAACGCTTTTATAAGCTTTTACTAAAAAATTTATTTTTTTTTTCTAACAATGGATTTTATTAATTTTATGTCCGTGAAAAATAAAGCTCGCAAACAATTTAATGATCCTTTTAACCTTTGAGTATTATAATTGATTTAACGTAATTGTCATCATATTATATTATTTAACAATGAAAAAGTGAATAAGCATGTTCTATCATAAAATTACTTTCAATAACAATTAATGAATAATTAATGCATTATCTTAATAAAATTTCAATGTCCATAAACTTTATGCGAAAATTACAATGTTTTTATCACGCATATTTATATATTATTTACTACATATCAACGTATCTATAATTCAAATTTAAAAAGACACTAAATACACGCTCACGCGTACACAGCGCAGGCGTATGGCTCTACAAAGTTATACTAATGTATATTAAATATTTCATTAGAATATCCAGTATGCACGTTATTAAATAATATATGCATATGAATAAATAATAATTGTACAATATTTGAATTTAAAAATTTATTCGAGCACATTAATGAATAGAAAAAAAAGATCTTGTTAGTTATTTTGGATGCGTTCGAATATTTATAAGGGAAGACTATATAGTCTATTAATATAAAAATGCGTTTCTTGAAAGAATATTAAAAAAAACGAAGGGCTTATTTCAATGAAATGGAGCGTTATGAAAATTATGTTATTGATTATCGTGATATAATAATATTATCAGGCAAAATATCTAGTATGTATTATTCTTGTTTCGCGCGTCGCTTGAAAAATCCATAAATTGCCTAATATATGAAATGTGAATGGTAGTGGGTGCTTATGCAAATTTGGAAATAAAACTAGTCGCACGAGGAAGGCCATAAAATGAGTGAAAAATGAATCAATGTACGAACCTTAAAAAACACTCGTTCTGGTGTATTATGGAAAAGGTGGATGGTGGATCGGTAGCTTTGCATTCATTTCGTTTATGAAATGTATCAGGTTCGAATCGTTGTTGTTACTCAAGATTACGCACCACGCGGCTGTGTAATAGATGGGTACGGATATCAATGCGGAAGAACGAATGGAAAAAAAAGAAAAGAACAGAATTGTTATCCACGGTAAAGATTAAAGAACTTGAGGGAAGTGCCGAAAGAGCCCGTTTGTAGCCAGTGGCGCGCGTCCGGGTAAGCATTAAGCAAACAAAAAAAAGGAAGACGAAGAGTAATAGGTCAAAAGCAAAAAAAAAAAGAAAAACTAAAAAGCAAGAGAAACAAATAAAAAATATAGATCGAGAAAGAGAGAGAGAGAGAGAGAGAGAGAGAGAGAGAGAGAGAGCAAAAAATTGAAGAAAAAGGAAAAAGTAAAAATAGAAACAACAGCGTTGCAGCAGTGCTGGAGTGGCGAGGAAGTTCTCGGACCGTTATTTCCCATTAAAAAGAAGGGGTTCATCGCGCTGGCATTATTGTAGAAGTGTCGAGATTCATTGAGGGTTGCGAGGGAGGCTGCGAGGGATGCTGCGAGCAATACTACGAGGGAGGGCGACAGGCGATAGAGAAAGTGGAGCGAACGAGAGCCATTGAGAGGTGTGACATCGTGGCATATTCGTTTGTATTCCCTGCAGAGAGGCGCGACTCGTCATTATCTGTCCCGACCGCCTATCACTGACATTGTGGCTGCGCGTTGGCCGCACTCGAGTGTACAATCTACAAAATACAAATAAAAATAATCAACGCCCTTTGCAGTCACTCCTGAAAGTCCCAGCAGCCCCGCTCATTCTTCAGGCATCGATTTCCGAGTCAGCCGCTATTTTTCAATTTATCTCATCTGGTCCGATTGCTCCCTTCCAGCATCGGCGGATCGCGTATACCAAGCGCGGATTATAACGAGTGGCGTGCCGTCGTCGGGCTCGTTACGCGCCACGGAGACACGAGTATGTCTATCATGCGGGATGTATTGTGCGCCTCGTGTATTGAAAACGGCATTTCCAGAGAGGAGTCTGGGCGTTTGGTGGCTGAAGAGGCGAGCGCATCCGCCTGTCCAACGCGTTAGCCTTCTGTGCCGTTTGTCCAATAAAATATTCTTGGCTCGTGGAAGCGCGTGCTTTCGATGGCTTTATCCTGCGAATGAAGGATCGGCGGCTGTTTGTGGAAATAATTTATAATTGATCGCGGTGGTAAGAGTCGAGCATTCGATGGATTTCCTTCGAGAGTCGGGGCAGGGGGGGGGGGGGGAGGGTTGG